ATCCCCATCTTCCATTTTGCAGACACAGTCCGCAGCCATATAATCCAGAACAAGCACAATCCTTTATTGTTCATGTAATTTAAGCAAGAAATAGTTTTTCTCTAAAATTGAGTTAGAGAGGAGTTTCAATCTTTCCCTTCACTTTACTTCTTTTTCTTCATATTTTGGGCAATGCCGTGAGGTACGAGTAACTTGAGAAACTACACCATAATCTCTTCAAATGTTCAGCAATCTGAGTCAGGTATAAAAAAATGCAAAAATATTCTTAGGTTTTACTTCAACAAATGGGTTTAAGCCTGCTCCTTCTTCATAGGGAAAAAGAAAAGCCAAACCAAAACAAAACAGCAAAATGACCAAAGAGAAAAGAAGGAAGTAGAAGATGAGATCCAGTTAACTAAGATGCCACAGATGCTGGCTCCTGGTCAAAGACCATGAGACAGACATCACAATTTTCCAGGGCGGCTACATTTACCAGCTGCAGTGCTGGTGGAGAGTGATGGCTGGAAATGGTTTTTCAAAAAGAGCTTTCAAGGACTAACATTAAATGGAGAATACTGGTGGGGTTGCTTTAAAGATTTTAAGGATTAAATGATACATGTAAAGTGCTTAACACTGGCTCAGACCCACCGTAAGACCTATATACCTGTTTACTCCTCTGCTGCAATTACTATCCTGTTATTACTGTAAGTGAAACTGTCCCCAGTGGCTCCCTTTGTAAGCAAAAGCCCCTTTCCCTTTATGGGCCATGTTCTTCCTATCCAGAAATCAGACTCTTCCAGAAGTAAAGTCACCAGCCCTTCCCAACTCCTCCAACCCTCAGAAGTGGGATGGGGGAGGGGGCTGACAGACCACAGGTGGGCAGCTGTGGGTGTGGCAGCATGGTTCTCACGTGGCAGTGAGAGCCAAGGGTAGCTCCACACCCCCTCAGTCCTTCCCCCCGGCCTCACCCTCTGGCAGGTCGGTGACGATGGCCTCCGGTGAGATACACACTCCTCGGTCATAGACTGGCAGGTCATCGCAGGCTAGGCTCTCGGGCCAGCTGTGGTTATATATCTTCATGAGGGGCTCGCAGTCGTCGCGCGCTCGCTGGCACACCGACTTACAGGGCTTGATGGGGTCGTGCAGGAACTCCAGGGTGCAGATGGGAGCGTACATGGCACAGAGGAAGAAGCGCAGCACGGCGCTGCAGTTCACGTCCACCAGCTCCTCGTACTGCTCGATGGCCAGGATCGCGTTCTCCTGTGTGCTGTGGTGCAGGTGGTTGGGCATCCGCGTGATGTTCCAGGGCATGTGCCTGCACATGGGGATGCGCACCGCCTCGCAGGGCGCACCACGCACACCCAGGGCCAGGCGCAGCCAGAGGCATAGAGCGGCCAGGATGGAGAGAAGCATGGCACTGTCCTCCTGCGCTGCGACTCCAACAGGCGGAAAGGTCTCTTCTCTTCTGTTCTCTCCCTCTTTTTAATCTTTCTCTCTCCCCTCTCCAAGGAGGTAGTTTTTTAGGGCACAGGGCTCCCCAAAATCTCGTAGGCAGCGACGCAAAGCTGCCGGGGCTGAAGGGAGAAGTCCACTGTCTAGGGCACAGTGCACCAGCAAAGCCAACCCTCAGCCTCCGGGGCTTGAACCCCGCCAGGCAGCTCCAGTCCCGGACGCGGCAGCTCCCAGCGCAGCCAGCCACGGCCATTGCAGGACCCTATTTATCCTGATACTTCCCCTGACGTGGGCTCCTAACACTCCCTTGGCAGTTGCAGGCGCGGCAAGGGCTCCCCGCTTCACCCCCTCCGTCGCTCCACCCCCAGTTCTTTCTTTGCAGAAGTGGTGACATCATCTCCTCCGGGCCGCAGCCCGGGGCCGAAATCCGGCTTGCCCCCGAAGTCCCACCTTTTTGATCCAGCCAGTCCCTTCTCCTCGTACCTAGTAAAAGCCTTTGGCAGTCGTTTTGGACACCGGATCCAAAAGAGTGTAAGAGCACTTCAAGAGAGGAAAAGACGCTCTTTTGAGTCAAAGCTGAACTTTGCGTCTTGTGCAAGTATACCCTTGAAGAGTACTGGGAACTTCAGCTGCCCTTTAATTCTCAAAAATACTTGCTTCGTCCAGTAGGGGGCATGAGAAACGCTGTGTAGTGAGATGTGTGGGATGAGAGAGTGCGGTAGTAATTGCTGGAAGAGGATGGACACGTTATGTAAACAAACCAACCCCACCCCCCAGCATGTTGTATAGAGTTTGTTTTGTTGTTATTGTAGTGGCTAATAGACGTTAGTTGGGGCGAAGGTTTTTCCAGAATGGCATTTGGTCTGTTCCTGCTCCAGGAACAGAACAGCCTGAAGGTGCAATAGCATCTTTTGGTTTGAAAAATATCTTCCATCTGCCAACTTTCCCCCTATCTTCTTTTAACTCCCTATTCCGCTCTCCAACGTAAATGAAACCCAGGAGAAAACAAAGAAAAGTCTGGATACCAAAGCCTGAAAGATTTTTTCCCCTTCATGCCAAGTGATTCCAACCCAGCAACCTAAAATCTTGATTTTTAATGTGCTTGGAAACTGTTATTTAAATTGAGTAAGAAGCCATGTACGATGGAAAACAATTATGCATGTTTTGTTTTCTGTTTTATCTCAATTTGAGTAAGAAGAGGTGGTAAAACCACTGCTGGCTAGCTCAGTTGTCCACAGAAAAGGGCAACATTACTGTTGCAAGGATACATGAATCTTCGGGCAGTAAAATTGCTGGTATATGTTATTCTCTTTGGGCATTAGAATATGAAGAATGTCTTCTCTGGATGTTAATCTTTAAAGACATAGTTTCACTGGAAATCTGAACTCAAGGCAGACTGGTATTTCTCTCCAAAACTAGAGCCACCAAGTTAGTTTAGTTTTGACTCTAATCAGGACTGAGGACTAAATAGCCCAAGGAATGAAAAGCACCACTGACATTTCTTGAGCATTTACAATTGGCTAGGCATGGTTTCAAGTACCTTAAATAAATTGTCTTATTGTGGGGGGAGGGTGGTGGAAGGGCATGAATTAAGCATGTAAGTTTAAAGGGTAAATGAGACAAATGTATTTCAGGATTCACCCCAGGAGTCCAGTTTTATTTAGAGGAATTCCCAGCCAGTCCAGAGAGGTATTTCGGTTTTCTATAAGACAGATACCAAGTTTCAAAAATTCCAAGCCAACCTAGTGAGATAGCAAGCAAAGGGGAGTGCCCAATGAGATTTCAAGTATTTCCTGCAGTAAAGTCCAATGAGACTAAATCCCTGGCTTAGTGAAAAAATATTTCCAACCTGAGTTCCTATGAGGGAAGAAAATACAGTTTTGAGAAAGAGCCGAACTGCCTGCCATTTTCCTGTGAGCTGGTTGAGGAGGGAAAACTTGGAGAGGGTTCATACATATACCACCAGTTTGAAGCTGCTGCATTTGTTTAACTATGCAAGTACCAATTCACATTTCAGGTGCTTCCTTGATGTTCTCCATGGCATGTCTTTTAAGAAAAGGTGAGAAGTTAAGAGTTCTTCTCCACAAAGCTCCTCACTCACCTCATTATGTCAGTTGGTAGTCTGTGGCTAGTGTTTCAGGCCAGGGAGAGGAGGAGCAGTGAGGGCTTCATCAAGGAGGTTCTGTCGACCCACTTCCCTTTTCATGTCCTGCTTTAGCACTCAAGCCATTAGTTCATACTTGACACTGATTTGTTAAAAGCTTGTATAACTGAGTTGGTTGCCTTGGTCATTAGCTTTTCTCTGGTGATTTGCCAACTGTTTCCTTGGGGGACAAAGTCACCCTGTGTGGATTGCCACTGTTCTACTCTTTGGCTTCATTGACCCCCTAGATGCCAATGGTTTCCCATCCAGACCCCTACACCTGCTTATTCCATTGTCTGGAAGTGCTTATTCAACTGTCTTTGGGCTTTTTCCACCTATACGTCCCATAATCATCTCAAAAGCAACCAATTCTAAACTGCTTTTATCTTTTCTAGCTCAAGACTATTAGAATGTCAGTGGCCCGAAACCAGAACTCTCTCTGAGTCTAAATCCTCCATAGGTCACTCTGTTCCACACTCTGCCTTCTGGCCACCACCACCTCGCTTCTGACAGCATCTCTTGTCTGGATTATGACAGCATCTTCTTCCCTCCTTCTGCCTTGCCCTTCCTGTTCTCCACAGTGGCACCTGAGTGAGCTCCCTAAGGCATGTATACCTGCTAATGCCTCTCCCTAGCTTTGAATTTATCCATGGCTCCTACCACCCTCATAATTAATGCTAAATCTTTAGAATGGCTCTCAAGGCTCTGAATGATCTGGCTCCTTGTTGCCCTCTGCCTCATAATTGAACCCCAACATTACACTCATTTTCTCTTGTCCCCATGTCTTTCATCTGGAAATATTCTCTCCCACTTTCACCTGGCTCACTCCCCATCATCCTTGAGATGCAGACCAACACAAAACTTTTTAAAAAGTTGCTTCTTTTTTCTTGATTCCACGTTATAGATCCTAACATTACATAGACATAAATCATAAACCCAATGAAGTTTGTCCTTGAAGATGCCAAACTCCCAGACCCACACATATCTAGGCTTGAGGTCTTGTCAGACGGCGGTGCAGGAGGGCAGCAGTGTTACTGCAAGTGTGTCGAGGAGGTAATGCCCCTGGGTCCTCAGGCTAAGGGCGAGGGCCTATCCCCTAGTCCCCTAGGCTCTATGCTGAAAGCAGGAATTAAGGTGTGTTTATGAGTGATTGGTGTCATTTCTTCAGCAAAGGACACTTCTTTACATTTTTAATTTGGTGGAAGAAGATAGCAATTTTAGCAAAAAAGAAACGCATGTGGTACATAATAACAGGCGCAGCCGCACTGCTTTCCTGACCTTGACTTTGGCCCCCAGTATGTGGGTTACCTGCTGAACCCTTAAATTATTGGAGAAACCTCTCCCTTCTCACCATCCCCTCCCCCTACGTGGATGCCCTTCAGGATGCTAGTGGCACCACTGCCACTGCATTTCCTGTTGGCAGCAGAGAGCAAGTGAAAGCGAAGCCGCAGTGGGCAGCAGCCGGGCAGAAATAGCTCCTGCGCGCTTCACCAAAGCCTTCACAGGCCCCTGGCCCCGGCTCCTGGCCTCACGCTTCCCGATTCCCACAGCTGTAGAGGCAGGCGGTCACCGGAATAGACAGCAAATTGGCCGAGACGACATTCGGGCACAGCGCAGGAGAGCCGCCCGCTGCTTAGCCGCCCCTTGGGTCCCAACTGGACTTCGGGGGTTGGCGGGCTTGGTGGACCCCGATGCCAGGGCACACACCCCTCCGCGGGGCCCAGGGGCCCCTGGGCGCCTGGCTGCTGGGCGGCCTCTGGGTTTGGGTGCTGGGCAGTCTCTGCGGGCTAGGGGCAGCAGCGCTGCGAGCGGGAACCTGGGGGTCTCCGGGGACGCTGAGCCCTTGCCAGGCGCCGCAGCAGTGGGAGGGGCGTCAGGTGCTGTACCAGCAGAGCACCGGGCGCAACAGCCGCGCCCTGCTCTCCTACGATGGACTCAACCACCGCGTGCGGGTGCTGGACGAGAGGAAGGCGCTGATTCCCTGCAAGAGGTACGTGGGAGCGGGAGGGGGCGGGCGGCCCAGTGGGGTAAGGCTTGGGGGCTGCTCTAGGGCTCTCGATTCCTGCGATTCGCGGAGCCTCCCATCTATTAGAAAGGAACTTCGCCAGGAGGATCACTCCGAGGTAGCATTATTGGGGGGGGGCGGGTGGGGGGTGTGGAGGGGCTGACCAACCCAGGGCGGCCTGCCCTCGGGCACTAAGCAAGACCTAGTGGGGCGGTGGCTGGTGAAAAAGGAGTCCAGCAGGAGCGGGCTGCACTGCCCGCACCCTGTGCACAGGCCTGAGGTTCCTGCGGCCTTGTTCAGCTTAGGGTACGTCTCCTGCACTGCCACATTAATTCCAGAACAATCTGCGAGGAAGCACCGAGAGCACGTATTTTTAAAGAATAAGTCTTTATATTTTAAACGATATGACACCACTACAAAAAGTATGGGGAATCGACCAAAGAAAACATCACACACAAATTCATCACCCTGTTACAACTATTAAAATTTTGGTCTACTCCCTTAAATTTTTTCAAAGCAAGTTTTACATATTTGGATCAAAAACATGTATTATCTGTATCTTTCTTTATATAACATAATGTCTTTGTCATTCGCCATTTTATTAGTTGGCTTCCTCTCTATTTTTAATGGCAGCACAATATTCCATTAAAGGGCTATACTTTGTGTATATATTTTTAAGCACTGGTCTCTAATTCACCTTTCCATATCTGTTGTGACAAAGGACAACCCCTTTCTGAGGCCTGTCTTACTTCTGACCCCTGTGAGCCCTGGTTTCTATTTTGGGATTGCCACCTGTCAGTTTTCCAGTCTTCCCATTTCTCTGTGTGTTCCTCTCCAGTTATATTAGTTTTTCTGGGTGGTATCTGCCTCATCAGAAGGAGGAGCCATGGGAATGTCCATGGTCTGAAGCCCCAGTGGGGAGTAACATGTGCAGCAAATCCTGATATTAAATCCACCTAAAAACTTTTGTTGAGTGTTAGGCAACTGGGAGGAAATGCGGGATCCTTTCAAAGCAGCACTTTGAAGAGTACACGATAATGCATTATAAACTGTAAAACATGAGTGCTGAGGAGGCCCAGCACAGCCGAGTCATCCCGGGGTCTGGGACTATCTGTGAGGCCTTTCACAGATTTCAGAGAACATGAATGTTTTTTGTTAGATCTCCAAGGACACAGTAATAGTAATAGTAACAACTGAATTTTGAGCATGTTGTATACCAAGCATAGTGCTGAGGACTTTCCACATACTATGTGATTTGGTTTAAAGCTCACAAGAACTTGACAGTTTAAGATTTATGATCCTTATTTTACAGAAAATCTGAGGTCTAGGAAGATGAAGCAACTTTATTAAGATCACACAGCTGGGACTTGAAGAGGAGGGGTAGATTTTTACACCTGTCATATACCAGCTTCTTGTTTGTATTCATTCATTCATTCTACATGCACTCGTATGTGTGGGGGGGCACTGTTTATAAACAGAATGGGTCCTGGGATTCAGGGAGGTCATAGTCTGGGGCTGGAGTCACATAAATAAAACATTTCCATACAGCGAGATGAAGGATGAGCTACAGTGATGAGATGCCTCATATGGCCACCTAACCCAGGCTTCCTGGAGAAGGTGAAACATGAGTGAGCCCCGAAGCTCCCGTGTTAACTGACTAGAGGAGGTGTGAAGGGAAGAGTGGTTCGGGGAAATGTGAGTGTATTGCAGGCTTGCCTTGTGTGTCATCCTGGAGCAGACATTGCTGAATATATTCCAAAAACTGTAGGCCTATCACTGTTAGAACTGAAGCACAGAGTATGACAAGTGGTTGGGGCTTCACTGAAGGATTTCTAAACAGGGAAATGCCATGATTGGATAATATAGAGATCACTAGATGCATGGTTGAGAATGAAGGAGAGCAGGAGTAGAAAGAAGAACGTGCCCAGAAGACTTTTGTAGAGGTCCAGGTGAAAGACAGCTGGTGGCAATGGTGATAGAAGTGCACACACTAAGGAAATGTTGAAGAGGTATATTGAAGGATGTGCAAATAATTCAACAGTGTGCGGCTGAGGTGGTGATAGGGAGGGAAGCATCATTTGATTTCTGAAGCTACCCATATGATGGCATGGAAGAGATGATGCTGGTGACACTGTTCACTGAGACAGGGTTTGGCTTTCTGAACTTCTGGTTAAAGGTTGATTGGTACTCTTAATGTGCATTGATGTGAAGGCTGGGAGAGTAGTGGTGAGTGATGAATAGTCATGCTGAAGATGGACTGGATGGCCCAAAGCACACTGATAAAGCAGAGGAGTGAAGCCAGAAGGATAGAGCTCATCCTCCAGAGGTAGTATTTTCAAAATTTAGAAGAATAAGGTTTAGAGTCAGACAAATCTAGTTCTGAATCCAGATTTCTAATGTGGGCCTCTGGATAAGTTACTAAAATTTCCAGAGCCTTAGGTTCCTCATTTACAACATAGTAATGCCTAATTTGATTGTTGTAGGGATTAAATGGGTTCAAGTGTGTAAAGCACACAATGCAGTGTCTGACACATAGAGGTTGTTCAGCCATGGCTGTAGTTGTCCCTGTCACCACCATCATCATCACCACCCTGATATATTTACCATGGCCCAGAGACTTGCTGCCAGCCCTGTGGTCTCAGAAACCTAATCTCTCAGGGTACTCAAGGGCCCTTCCTTTGGGAGCTGAGTCAAGTAAACAATCCCAAATGCTAAACTGTTTATTTCAATGAGTGCTGTAGCTGGCATGGGGCCAGAATTCTCAAATCTGCAAGACCAAGTTATTTTCTCCCTGTAGGCAGAACTGTATGGGAGCCAATTATAATCAGGAGATTGTGAGCAAAGAGCTGGAACAAATTCACTGACTCGAACATTTGCCCGCTTTAGGCTAGGCTGTATGCTCAATATTGAGCTTTCCATCATGGATAACACAGCCCTGCTCAGAGAAATCTGGCTAAGGTAAAATGATGCACTCATTTTCACCAAAGAGATGCAGTCTCACTGGCTCATTGCTGGTCCAGATTCTTTTGACTCTGCACAGAGCTTTGGTGGAGTGAGTCTATGCAGGCCTGTCTTAGCAGCTCTTCTTCTATAGCTCCATGCTTGGCCTATGTGGTTTTTAGATGTGCATATTGTATCTTTATTGGGACCACACTAAACCTTGCTGGTCTAGAAGCTTTTTTTGTCTCATGTGGTATTATCTTATTTCCCTGCCTTGGTCCATCAATTGATTTTACAGTTTAACATCTAGAAGACAATTTTATTCCCCATCTTTCCAGTTTCTTGGCAAGGTTCTGTCTCATGGCCGAACCTCTGGCCCTAGATCAGACGTAGAAAAGAATGTTTAAAGCATAAGTGAATTTTAAAGCTCCTTAAATGTAGATTGGTTGAAACAAACTCAGAAACTTTTTCAGGTATTAGCAGTCTGGCCAAAAAAAAAAAAAAAACATGTTATTTGAAGAAAATATGGGTGGGTTGTCTCTTCATATTTATTCCTAAATTGACAAGTAAGTTTTAGAATCGGATCAACTTCTTAAGATTTTTATTTTGCATTCAGATAGTTATGGAAAATCCTGCTGGTAGTTATTGTGGAATGACTAGGATTTTCCAGGCTCTCTTTATCCAGAGAAGATGGAAAAGATTAAACAACTTTATAAGCTTGAGATAAGACAAGCCTTAGCAGGGAATGGGAAATGTTAGTAATTGATACTGTTTTGTTTTCTGGTTCCATCTGTCTTTCCTGATCCCTTGACTAAACTCATGAGTATTCTATTTGAAGACAAGGAAAGCAAGAAGATTTATTTTCATTATCAGAAGGTAATTTTCAATATTTCATAATCAGTCAACACATTGAACTTTTTTGAACAAGCAATGTAGATATTGAATGAATTTGTTAGAATATCAATAACTTACTGCTTCCATTACAAAATAATGCCTTGGGTTGTGGTGTTGCAATTAACAAAGCTACTTATGTAGAGTGAGCAGAGAGGCATTAAGATAATATATATTGACAAGTCAAGGATAAATCTTACAAGACTATTCAGCAAACAATTCTAAAATGAGCAGAGAACCTGAAGGAGTAGACACTTCTCCAAAGAGGACATACAGATAGCCAATAGGCATATGAAAAGATGCTCAATGTTACTAATCATCAGAGAAATGCAAATTAAAACAACAATAAGGTATCACCTCACACATGTCAGAATGGCTATCATCAATAAATCAAGAAACAAAAAGTGTTGGAGAGGGTGTGGAGAAAAGGGAACACTTGTGCCCTGTTGGTGGGAATGCAGACTAGTGCAGCCACTGTGGAAAACAGTAAGGAGGTTCCTCAAAAAATTAAAAATGGACCTACTATGTGACTCAGCCATCCCACTTCTGGATATATATCTGAAGAAATTCAAAACACTAATTTGAGAAGATATATGCATCCCTACCTTCACTGCAGCATTATTTATGATAACCACAATATGGAAGCGACCTAAGTGTCCAATGATAGATAATTAGAGAAAGAAGAAGTGGTACATATATACCATGGATTTTACTCAGCCATAAAAAAGAGTGAAATCTTACCATTTGCAACAACATGAACGGACCTAAAGGGTGTTATACAAAGCAAAATAAGTCAAACAGAGGGAAACAAATACCATATAATATGTACAAGTGGGATCTAAAAATAAAATAGAGGAACAAACTAAACAGATACAAACTCATAGTTGCAGAGAACATTTAATGGTTGCTATATAGGAGGAGGTTGATGGCTGGATGACAAAGGTGAAGGGATTAAGTATTACAAATTGGCAGTTATGAAATAGTCATGAGGATGTAAAGTACAACATAGAAAATATAGTCAGTAATACTGTAATGACTATGTATGGTGTCAGATCTAAATGTGAGATTTATAAGGGGGATTACTTTGTAAATTATATAAATGTCTAGTCATCATACTGTATACCTGAACTAATATAATATTGAATGGGAATTGT